TTCCGACAGTATGGAGTTTGTTTCGATGAATGTTTTCAAACGGTTATTTAAAACTGCTGTAGAACGTTTATCAAAACAGCTCAGCCGAAGAGTTGAAATTAGTTATATTTCCTTATATTTCCAATGTATTTGATTGAACATTGATGCCTGAATATGGACATGAAAAGGCATAAAGTGACACATAAATATTAATTCGGCTTGCATTTCTCTAAGTATTTCAAATCTCAAAAATGCCAAACGTGCTCTAAACATTTTAAATTGTACAGTTTCCTATTAATTTAATTTTAATTTCTAACGTTTGAAATGAGGTTCAAAATCGAAAGGTGACATACAAACACCTAATAACTATTGAGGAATTACGCAGTTGAGTGTTTTTGTCGTTATATGCATCTATATTGAACAAGAGAATGACATTTCTGTCGGATGTATATGACAGACTATCTGAATCGCAAGGTACTTGTAAAAAAACCCTTGTGTTAAAGCATGAATGCCCAGGGGGTACGTTTTATGCCCACTATTGACCTGAACGTTTATTAATGAACTTGCTGATGAAATAGAATCCAGAAGTTCTTCAATTACATCTGCTGTTGTTTGCTGACAACGTGGCACTTATTTCATTCACAATTATTGGTTTTCAGAAACAGATTGATAATTTGGATAGTTTTTGTTCTGATTACAATTTGTCTGTTAATTTAGATAGAAACTGAAATTCTTGTATTTAAGAATGCTAGCATTTCGTCAAGATATGAAAAATGGTTTTATCATGACATGTATGTTTCATTATATTCGTACCTTGATATATTACTTTCTAAATCTTTGTCATGTTAAAATCATGTCGCAAATGCCACGTTGCTAGCAAAAAAAGTTATGTGTGTTTTTTCAGGACATTGTCGGTAATTCAAACCCTATTATATCAGACATATTTCAAACATTTTGATAATAAACATTCGTCCTATTTTGTTGTACGTGTACGTTTCTGACACGTAAAAGAATCAACTCGAAGTCATATACGTCTGCGCACACTTATAACAACCCTTGTCAAAGTCATGTGTCTTTACCTCCTAGAGTTATTAGACAATTGTCATTCGAAAGTTGGGTTTCGTTCGTTAGGGATTTCGGGGCAGTGTTAATGTCGTCTGACTTACTTTGGTTGTATTAAGCTGAACTTCTTACATGTTGCTGTCGGTGACCTGAGCTCCATAGGCCAGATTGCCATTAAACAAGAAAAAAGTAAAAATGAAAACGTGGTAATAGGTTCACAGATTTATTACTAGCAGCAAATTGTATCAATAGGCGACACAAAAAGGATCACAAACCTAAATTTATGATAATGACAACGCAGATTAAATACACAAGCGGTTTATCCAAGCAACTATATTGCAGGGATAAAATGGGAGTAGCTAAAATAACACAAGATTTTGACAAGATGCATAGACAGCCAATAATTATATATAAGTCGACTGCGACCAATTAACTCAACACTCTAACGAGTGAATAACCTCCTAGAGCCTGTCCCTACCATAAGTCTTTGGGACGATAGAACAGACGGAAATCGCCCGAATATCAAACTAGTCTGAAAGACAAGAGACATTTTGGCTGGACAAGGAAATTCCACACTTCCCAAAAACATAAAGTGCTCGAAGAAAGCGAAACAATCGCGGGAAGGTTGGTTATCCACGAATTACTACAAAAAACGGATTATAAAGAAACCCTAGCTACATGTATATACATCAGCAGATTCTAATACTGAATTATTTATAAATAAAACTCCTTTATCGACCCATTCTGCATAAAATGAACATTTCTAACGTTGAACATTGAAGTCGTGTTAATGTACCTATTTCGTTTGTCATTGGATCATGTTGACTTTTCGCATTTCAGTTTGTTTGTGCCAACACAGCAAACTCTCTCCTCGTTTCAAGGACAAGAAGTGGGGCACTCGCTGTGCAGAGTTGCGTCCCTTGGACACGCCAGAAACCTATGAAAATGGGTTCGAATCCCGGTTCGCCCCAATTATGTTTCTAGGTTTGTCAGCACCATACCCGTGCTCGTGGGCTTCACCGAAGTGGTAAACGTCTTAGACCTGCATCACTTCGGGCTTTCCTCCCACATTAAGCTGACACGCCGTGATATAACTGGAATAATGTTAAAAGCGGCGTTAAACCAAACTCACTCACTCACTCACTCAAGGACAAGAAAACGCATGGTGACAGAAGAGTATGTTGAATCATCTCATTGTCAAGATGTTAAAATATTTTTTTAAGATGTACGTGTACATAACAGTCAATATAGCAAGGACAACAACTAGCGTGTATTAATCATTGATATGGCTATATTTACTCCATGCATTTACTTGATCGATACACGTGACGAGTTTGGTAAAGAATCTAATTAAAAACAATGCATTACGGTACACCACAGCACCACAATACACACATGTACGAAGTCAAATTATTGCACATTACCTATACAGGTAAATATAAAACGCCAAAGCCAGAGAATAACCAGTTTCGATTATCCACCAAAACAGATTCCATTGAAAGTGAAAGGCACACTAGCCGTGAAAACTATATGAATGGATCATTCAAAATCAGTGATGGCACCAGGTAGCACCCATATAACTTCCACAACTTGCTTAAAATAGTGTTTGTAGCCTTGACACCGCACAACAGTACTCCCGCCACGTGACGGCGGCATGTACACAAACCAGACAATCAAGTGATGGTCCCAGAAATCAAGTCACAAGAAAACGCATTTATGGATTTTGTTGAAACTGAAAACAATATGTTAATATTGAATTATGTCTTCTGAGATTGTACGATTTTTAAGTAAAGGAAAGACGTTTAAGACACCAAAGTACAAGAAAGATTCACAGTACAACCAATCACACAATGCATGACAGTTCATCCCAGCACCACGATACGCTCAGGTACAAAGACAAACACCACATTACGTCACATTTCACGGTTCCCTGTTGTAAGGTTGTTGTAAGGCCATAATATGATAAAATTGTAACTACATCATGGTGCCCTACAATACACCACAGTAAACCATAGCACACCACAATGCACTAAAGTTCACCACAGTGCATTTCAATATACCACATGTACAGAAAACCAAAATACACCATAATAGTCACTACAATACACCATGGTAACTATCTTAACTACAGTACACCAAAATGTAACACACTACTTCACTGTGAACATTATAACTAAAGTATACGATGCTTTTAACAGAGTAGTACAGATAGCACTTTAAGAAACACACGATGGAAGCCTTGGAAAAAGATCGAAACAAACTAATGATGCTTTGTTTGCGTAGTGAAAATGAAGTGTGTATTGACAGATGAACGGAATACAGACATTTAAAATAAGCTGTTGTGCAAACACTGGGTATTGATTGATAACTAATCACCACCACACAAAACTATTAGCAGTATGGCATCAACAGTCGGTCGGTATGTAAGTTTGTCGTGTTCATTCTGAAAGGTATTCATGTATATTTAAAAAGATATCGCCGTAAATTAGGGTGTATACAATTGTTAAACGTGTTTCTGATAAATTCAATCCTGAGGTCTGGTCTATCATAGCATGTTGTATTATATGGGCTCGCTCTCACCCTAGAGAGCTCATCTTTTGCAGAGCAAGAACGTTTCAGATTGCTTGATAACGGTGTTAGAACCTAAACCGAAACGTCGCTCTTAATTGTAATAAAGAACTTGTTCATCCATAAATTCTTATCCTTACTTAACGTTTCAGATGTATCCTGCTTTGTTCATATTTGAATAACTTTTCAAAGATATTATTTACTTAAAAAACAACAAAATATATTTAAGCCTACATGCGCTCCTTAAATGTTCGGTTTTATTGCATTTACAGTATTTGAGACAAAGAATTGTTAAATAAATACTGTTTGCAAAGGATTCGATATACATTTTATCTAAAACTCATAACCCGCCACTTTGCTCCATGCGGCCTGAGATTGCTTCATGGCGCTCGTGAGACTTCAGCTGCACCTGAATGAATTCCAGATTACAGTATTTCTTGGCGTCTCGGTAATAACATACTTTCATATGGCATGTTTAAATTCATAGATTTTATAAGCTAGGATGTGGACATTGCAAAGGTCTTTAGAAAGAGTTGAAAATGTTTATGTTTATGAAAATGTTCCCACGTTTGCAGACGTGAAGACAGAAGTTGGTTACATGACAGTTAGTTAGAGCTGAAGTCAGTTAAGCTATATAGGCTGACTTCAATACAATCTGTGTATTTAGCATAATCGTTTTTCTCAACAACAAAATTCTGGTACAGTTTATTTTAAAAAATAAAATCCCAACCCTCCCCCTCCCCCAGAATATCAAATGATCGGTCCCTTAGTGTAAATAAACTCTTAAACTTCACGTTTAGGTGTATCGTTGCCAATGCACCTTAATGCAACCGGTCCAGTTATTTCTATCTTCACTGTCAAGAGTGTGTACTTGAGGGAACGCTATAAACAACCTTAATCACCAATTACGAGCTGTTTCGCTACGGGCGAAGCTTTACTCGTTGGTTATGCACCTCTACAATCCTTAGTTAATGATGTGTAAATGAAAGAATTTACACTGAATATATCATTAGCAATGTTAGTTTCCCGACTTCTTTGTACAACTTGTATTATTGTTGCCATTGTCAAATGAAGCAGGGGGAATTTAATGAACTATTTGTGAATAATGAAAGTCTGACACACCCAATTCCAAGTTTCGAACCATTCAGTAATATGGCTATGTATAATTTCATGATATAATATATCCATAACTGTTCAACCACTCATTTTTTTTTTTTTTTAAATGAAAATCTTCAGTGCTGAACAAGTGCGTTATTGATCTTTCTTGGCTTTTATGTAAAACCACTATAACTATTGGACTAAATTGTAATCATTAAACGCATCTTTGAAGGACCGAAAATGGTTACAAAACCATCAGCGTTGACACAACACGAAGGTCTATATTATGACCTAACAAATTCATACCGATTCAATTGCTTGATAAAAGTTGAATGTGACGGATGAACGCTACGAAAAGCATTTAACATACTTAAACCTTCTTCACCACACATCTGTCGCATCGGAACAGATATTTTTCAGTTTGTAAGTATTATTACAGAGATACACTTTGTTCATACATGTAATTATGCTTGACTGTCATGAGATCTGGAGTGTACATTAAGTACCAAATAATATATGCTAAATTATATAGAGATAGGTATTGGAATTGAGGTTGAACAGAGGTAGTAATCGAACTGAGCATGTTTAACTGTATTAACTATACCCTCCTTGGTAGAAACAAGTAACATTACCAATTATATATGCTAAATTGACCAACATAAAAACGCTCCACATATATTGAATTGTGTTAGTTAGTATGAACGTTAAGATGCTTAATCGATTAGAATATATGTCAATCTACTCAGCTGGAAACAGCTAATTCTTATCAACATGGATGTTTGGGCCAAGTCTTTAGTATTTGGTCGAACACTGCAAACACGGCAGAAGGCTGACTTAAGACAAACATAAGCAGGTTGCCTTTGTTTAGTTTCTTTCACTATAAACGGTTAAAAGAACAGGAAATTGAACATTGGAAATCCATTCTTTTTGCATGGGAGAGATAATAACATAAAAGACCATCGCCTTAGACATTAAACGATTCGCGAAACCCTATAGTATGTAGTATTCAGTTGGAAGGGATGCTTTTTGGAAAACACATATTATGAGCTGACATGTTTCATCTGAAACTCAAAGCCTGACACCTTTGTCCAAACAGCCTGATATTGCTTCATGGCGCTCGTGAGACTTCAGCTGCATCTGTCTCTGCTGCACTTCCTCCCCTCGGACATAGCCCCGCCAGGAAGTGTGGAGAATGTGCTTGACTGCTTCAACTCCTGTCTGAAAAAACAGGAGTGTGTCTCCCTGATTTACGACAGGTACAACAAGCAGTGCTACACCTACCCAGGCAGGCTTGAGGTTCCCTTCTGGGGAACTGACCTCAATACTGACCTCGACATCTACAATACGGACAGGGGTAAGTGAACTTATTTCGTCTTAGCAATCATAAGGTTAAACAGTTTCGTGGTTTGCGTTTGACAAAAACAAGCGTTGAAACCATGTCCATAATTATATAAGATGCCTCAAAATTAACACGCCTTTTCACATCTTGTGTGTGAATGCATCGATCTATCGATAGCTTACATTTCGATGCATAGGAAAATGGCTGCCGATCAATCAGAGATGGTTATTGTGATTTGTCACATCTGATTTACCAACCAGATATTGCTTCAAAACAGTGAAACCTCGTTTGTCCCGATCCTGTTAGTTCAGAAACCATCCTTCCGGTCGATATTTTGAGGAACAAACCAGAAAATGAACGTGTCATCTGAGGTCCATGTGACCAACGTTTGAAATGTACGTAGCATTTGGCCGCCACATTTACATTTATTACGCAGGTCATGAAATGCAAGAGCATCCAGGTGACTATGAACATATATCATAGGGATGTGTAAATATGGTCATCCTTTTCATATATTGTCTAAGGTGTGAAATAATGGTAAGTGTTGTTCCAAGAAGACACAGATTTCATTACCCTTGAAATCTTGTATGACAAGGTTTAGATATATCCTATGTTTCATATGTTCCTAAATGTTCGATCATTGGTAAATGGAAGATTATCCATATTGGCAAAAAATAGCATTTAATTCAATGGTTCAGGTTATACATGTATCACTGCATTATGTTGCCAGCATTGGCTCGTTCGGTTGCAGGAAGCCCCTCAGTGACGTAATGAGGTGATTAGTATGTGTGTGTATTTGTTGTTTGACGCCGCACTCCATATTCCAGCTATATGACGGCGGTCTGTAAATAATTGAATATGGACTAGACAATCCAGTGATTGACATCATGAGCATCGATCCACGTAATTGGGATACGATGACATGCATCAACCAAGTCAGCGAGCCTGACCACCCGATCCCGTTAGTCAGATAATTAGTAACATATGGCGAGTGGATCCACTTCAGCGCAGGCCATTCAAGTTTCTTGTGTTAACCCATCGGATAACTGTATTGAACTGCTTTCAGATTTTAACTCAACAATTATGCTCATGATATAGTCGGAATAGTATAAACGTCTCTTATTATTAAATTTCTTATGAATATGGAAAGGGTTTATGGTATCTCAGTGGGCGAGCATTATAAGACCAACTAATACACACACACACACACACACACACACACACACACACACACACACACACACACACACACACACACACACACACACACACACACACGACCATTGACGTTCAACTCTTGAACCTTACCTCACTTCGTACAATGTAACGAACAATGGTCAATGCATTTGGTGTATTCACACATTGTAGTCAGGGTTCGATTTCCCACATACACTACAACGCAAAAGTCTTTTACTTTATTTTGCAAAATTTCCTCAGAATGTTTGTAAAACGTTTTCGTAGCTACGCGGGGACTACGCAGAATGTTTGTAAAACTTTGCTTAGCTGCGCGGGGACTACGCAGAATGTTTGTGAAATATCTGCGTAGCTACGTATCCACCCCGCGGAGCCAGTGTTGAGTATCTGCGAAACTAATTGCACCATTTATGGGACCAATTAGTTTTATGACCCCCGGGCGTCGACACAAGCGTGGTGTTGGAAGACAAGTTATACATGTACATCCCATATGGTGACTGTTTTTCACAATTTATATTCTAATTTCTTTCATAATACCACACCATTACAGTACTCCTTGAAACCAATGACTTCAAATGTTAAGTACAATAGATTGAACGAGAACAACTGAAAATGCATTGTACACAGAAGGATTGTGTCTGTCGTCTTGAAGTCTTAAACTTATTGTACTTTTTAAATATTATGTATATTTTACAGCCAAAACCTGCTTTTTCATTCTCCAACGAAGAATATTTTATATGGCTAGTTACGGGTAGTATATTTTCATACCCCTTTTACACCAATATATTTATGCTGTACATACTGTGATACATTGTAAGTAACTCTCGTAACCCTTAACGGATGGCTCACTTTTATGTCCTTTTATATGTATTTATGTAATTATTTCTCTGAGGTGAGACTCAAATAAACAATCTGTCTGTCTGTCTGTCTGTCTGTCCCATATGGTGACTGTATTTCACAATTTATATTCTAATTTCATTCATAATACCACACCATAACAGTACTCCTTGAAACCAATGACTTGAAATGTTAAGTACAATAGATTGAACGAGAACAACTGATTATGCATTGTACACAGAAAGATTGTGTCTGTCGTCTTGAAGATTTTTAATGTGCTCAGTCGAATAAGAGGGGCACGGGTGGCCCAGTCGTCTGAGGCGCCGCGATTCGCTGTGCAGAGTTGCGTCCCTTGGGTACACTAGAAACCTATGATTGTGGGTTCGAATCCCGGTTCGCCGCGATTATGTTTCTAGGTTTGTCAGCACCATACCCGTGCTCATGGGTTTCACCGAAGTGGTAAACGTGTGAGACCTGCATAACTTCGGGCTTTCCTCCCACATGAAGCTGTCACGCCGCGATATAACTGGAATACTGTTAAAAGTGGCGTTAAACCCAACTCACACACCAACCATTCGAATTAGGAACGAGACTAACTGATTATCATGAAAATGCATTTTGCAGTTAAGAGTTATCTATGTATACATGTACACTTTGAAAATGTATTCACTTTACCGTCGTATACGACCTCCGCGATCGAGCTGAATGGTCCATGTCCACTGGAATGAAATGTAGAACGGGCTATAAGTATTTGAATTTGGCAAAATACACGTAGGTTTGTTAAATATTATTATAAAACGAATTTCATTTTAATCCAAATGTCTTCGGAAATTAAATAATGCCACCTGACTTGATGGGAGATTTGAGCCAGCTGAGACTGTACATGTGGACACACAGATTCACCGATTACAGCATACATGTAGGTTCTTTATTCAAGCAGGAATGTACAGGAAATGATAGGTAACAATTCTCTGTGCACTAATTACATGTTTGGATGTTATCAGTTCTGCGTTCAGAGATACAGTGATGTAAGTATGTGCTACAATTAACAATACATGTATATAATAAAAGAATTAAAGATAACTCTCTGCTAGAATGTGTGGTACCAATCATTCGATTGGGTAAGAATCGTAAAATGTATGATTAGATGAATCATCTATTCGGGTTACCCGATAAAAAAATAGTCAGATTTTAGTAACAGTGCTGTAAGATGACAATTGAAAATTCTAATTAGGAGATAAATTAGAGAAAGTGACTACATGTACGTAATCCCGATTAATCACAGCAGTCAATAACTGAAAAGCGTATCTATCAAGTTTTATTCATTACTATATTTAGTACAATTCAAAATAGTTGAGAGGTACATTTTTCAGAGGAAAGGGCATACACACCAGGATTATATTACATCCGTGTGTGAATGCAGGTAATACTTGGCATCTCAGTTCTCAGCTTCATAATGCTTCACACAGGTGGTTTATCTGAATCTGTAGTGTGTATATGGAAGTATACGCATAGCATGAAACACACTTGCTATTCGCCAGTCTACAACAACCCCAAATAGTAAAAAAAATTGGGTTATCAATGCGATATCCTATCCTTGGGAACCGCTTGTACACAGGCAAGTTGTTTAGAAGAATATTGTTTAGATTATAATCTATTTCAAATAGACAAATAAACAAATCAACCTGCTCAAATATGGTTTTAGGGGAATGTGGGAGGTTTCCTTTACAACTCACTTACATGACTAAAGTAATTAAATATTGGTGCAGGCTCTTACATCTTCAACCCCACAGATTACCTTCCCAATGCTATTTAATGCTTAAATCTTTAGATGATGTTGGGCGGGTAACTTGGGCGACTAAAGTTAGAAATATTTTATTCCAATTTGGGTTTGGTTTTGTATGGCTCAATCAAGAGGTGGGTGACTCTAAAGCTTTTATTCTCCATTTTAAGCAAAGGCTCAAAGATAATTTACAGCAATTCTGGAGTGCTTCTGTAAACTCTTCTCCAAAATGTGATCTTTATAAGCATTTTAAATCCATGTTAAATGTTGAAAGGTACTTGTCATGTCCACTCCCTACCCATTTAAGAATTGTTTTTACTAAATTCAGATGTTCAAATTTTAAAATAACTTTAGAAACTGGCAGATATAGTAAAACAGACCATTCACTCAAAACTATTGTAGTAGAAGAAGTCTTTATTTGTACCAAGGCCACTGGCCCATATACAATACATACATTTGAAATAGTGTGGTACATGAAAAAAGGTAATGTCAGGTACAAATTTACAGGTTTACAGGCTTTTCATAATTACGTCTTCTTTCATAGCTGTAATACAGGTATTTACACAGTTTTCCAAGTAATTGTTTACACGAAGATGACAGTAGCGTTTTAAATTTATGCATATTTGGATTATTGCAAAATGTTGTTGGTAAATACAGATGTCTAATATCGTTGTAATATTCACATTCTAAAGTAAAATGATATTCATTCTCTATACTTGTTTCACATATGGGGCAGAGTCGTAAACGTAAGTCAATATCAGCCCATCTACCTTCGTTTACCTTAAGTCTTAGTAGTAGTAAGGGAGTTAATGTCATTGAGGATGAATTCCATGTACTCTTTAATTGTAATTTATATTCTGCCCTAAGACAAAAATACCTTGTTAATCTTCCTATGCCTACTCATTACAGTAATTCTCATGTAATAAATATTCTTAGTAATTATAATGAGCAAACATTATTTGTAGTTTGTAAATTCTTATATTATGCTCACAAAATAATTAATGATAAATTCTGTGCCCTGTAAATGTCATGCTCACATGTCTGTATTTTGGGCCATTGGCCTTTTACTGAATAAACATGTCTGTCTGTCTGTCTGTCTGTCAATTAGTTTCCACAATTTTCGCTATACTCTTTTATTAATGTTTATGTTGCTTAATCTTATTGCTCATGTCAGTTTCTCAAATCCTGTGTATCATAAAAC